TTTGTGACCAGAGTCGTGGAACGAATTAAGTTCGTGAACCGAGGTACCACTGTAAATACAAAAGATTACACTTTGAACATAATGAACCTGACAGTCAACTCTTTTGAAATATTTTCTGAGGTATCAAGTACACATGAAAAACAATCTTTTGTTGAATTAAACTCATCTTAAGATAATAAGAAATATGCTTAATATTGTTTAAGACTTTTCACCATTGATTTTTTTCAATAGGGGGTATTCCATCTCTTTACCACAAAGTTTTTGCAAACTGCTACTATCCACTTTAACAATACTCATTGTCTTTAAAAAATTATAGATTTCAAATTGTCCAAAGTACATTTCCGTACTCATAGTAATTCAGGAGCTTTAGATGCTGCTGATGTGTTTGGATAAAATTGTGAAATTAAAAAAAAAAGTTTTTTAGACAATCCAAATTTCTCTTGCAGTGACTCAGATGGTTTAACACCTGATTGGCAATAAGTTAACTTAAAGTATTAATACACCTAATACCACAGAACCCTATGAATTCCAAAATAAAGATTTACTTGCAATTTTCAAACTGGGATTAACCCCAAAATGGAAATGTATGACATGAATAAGGTCAAAATTATACTTCAGTCCTAGCATTTTCCAAATATGGCATCATTTAGTATTGGAAATACAGCTGGATGTTGATTTTACAAAAGGAACTAAGGCATTTCAGATATCAGAGGAGTCACATAATAGCTTCCTAATTGAGCCCATAATGTTTTTTTTTTTAAAATTTGATTACTTGGATCCTATTGAGAAATAGAAGCCCAGAGGTACTCCCAGTGAGAAATTCGCTCATGAAATACATGATCTGCTTAAATTCAGATGCTAGCCATGGATTTCGAATGTCTCTTTTGATATTGTTTGGTTTTGCAACAATTAAGTCTCCAGAGAAAGAAATAACAGAGTAGTCTGTGCAAGAAAGTCAAAAGCACAAATGTACATGGCGGGGAAGAGAGAGAGAGAAAAAATCTTCCAAGGAGAGATGTTCTGCCACGCGACGCTACAAATGTGTCTTTATCGACATTTTACAAAGACTTGGTGACTTTTAGCGAGCTCACACGCCCCACCCACCTTCTATCTTCACTGCCGAAGGAGAGGAGGGACCTCGGATGCGCACCAGAACAACGTATAGAATTGAGACCCATCCCCTTCCCGAAGGTTATCCCCCTCCCCTCCTGCGGGACGAGAAAGAAAAGTAGATGTTTCCTGCTGTCGCAGCAAAGCATCCTTCCTCTAGCAAGCGTCGTCGACCCGTTTTCTCCGAAGTCGCCCGCTTTCTTTCAGTCTCTCGCTGCTGCTGCTGCTGCTGCTTTCGGAGATCGCTTTGCAAAAGGTGAATCCAAGGAGGAAGGCAAAGGCAAGTCATGTTTTGAAGCCGATCTATCGATTGCTCTGTTAATAGGCTTTGATCGTTTAAATGTTTAATGCATAGGGTTTAGTAGAGCCCCCTCCACTTCAGAGGAAGGTTTTCGATGCGCACGTACTCACTGAAAACTCAGAAACAGCAATATCGTAGAAAAGGGCGGGGAGAAGCAATAGATTAAAGTAAGCCTGCCCGTTTACCTTGGTTTTTGCACCCTGGCAAGCTTCAGGCGAGGACGGGGGCGGAGCGGGAGGCCAGCCAAGAAATCTTCAGTCCCTCTGAGTTTCAGAGTTGAACGCCTGTCCCGGCCTCTCGTCGGATGTTCCCGTAGAGTCATACATTCACGTGCCCCGCCGGAAATAGAAGCGAGAGCGCAAGCCTTCGCCGGGAAGGGCCTCCGTGCTGCGTATAAACGCGAGCAGGGTTGAGGCAATCGGGCGGGGAAGAGTCCGCCATCTGGGAACGCGGAGCTGAGCGAAGTGAAACGTTTTGCAGGGACGCCTGGCTGGAAGTAATTTAGAAGTTCGACAACAACTTTTTTTCCTCGCCTTTGCAAGGAGGGGCAGGGCGAATAGCTGCCCCGGGCTCCGTGCACAAGGTCATGGGGTAGGGGACGGGGAAGCTTGGCCTAAGCCTCAAAGCGAACGTAGTCTCAGTTTTCGTTTTTAGGCTAGAGCTGTATCTCCTGGCATAGTTTTTGTGCTTTATTTTACCTTTATGTGCTGCCATAGGCTTATGGTAACGATGATGATGGGGCCTTAAAAGCCATAGTGGCCACTTTAGATCTCTCCATAAATGGCAGTATTTGAACCAATCAGATAGATCAATACTTTCTTCCCATGCAGGAAGAACAGTAAACTGAAATCAAATCTGAAGAATTTTTTTCTGTATTTGAAGTATACTGGAACCAAACCTGGTAGCCTCCCATCCGTCAAGTATTTGATTATGACTCCAGTCAAGATGGACACTGCTTGTTCCAGCAGGCTTGCTTCCGTTTTTGGCTGTGAGATTTCTGATCAGCGTTTTGACTTCTGGTTCTTCTCTTTTTCATGAAAGAACATCCAGTAAGTATCAGGCAGATTGATTTTAAAATAACTTTAATACATGCCTTTTTTTTTAGGATTTTCTGAGTTAGTACTGCCATGTCTGATTTTGAAACTGAAGATACTGAAGAAACTGTAACCTGTCTGCGAATCATTATTTATCACCCAAAACAAGAAGAAAGTCCAGTCTTTCATGCTTTAAAGTTCTGTCACAACCAACAGCTGAGAGCAGATGATGTAGTGAAATTTGGAAGAGATTCAAACATCTGTCGTTTCCCCTTTATAGATGCACGGGTCTCGCGTGTTCAGTTTGGCCTTCAGTTTTTCAGACACTTCAACAGCTCAGAGTTTGGTTTTGAGATTAAGAATCTGAGCAAAAAGGCAAAGTTAATTGTGGACAATATTGAACTGGGCTATCTAAATAAAGTCAGCCTACCAGATAAATGTATGGTTTGCTTTGGAGAGTACCAGATGTTACTACAAAAACAAGAAGGACAATCTGAGGACTATTTTAACATCTGCTTTGAATTGGCCAGAAAGTCACTGTTACAAGAAAAAAATCTATTTTTGAAAAAACCAGTCTGTGAAAGTAGCAGTTCATATACTCAATTTCCAACAGAGATGGATGAGAATGAATAAATTGGAAAATTCCATGAAAAAGTTTCAAACAATTGTGTTTTTAAGTGCTTACCTTTACCTTGTGTGTTATGGTAGTTGAAGCTATATTTATCTATATATTTGCCTCTTTACCTGCACTGCCAATAGGTTAGCATCTTTTTGAGAGCTACACAGAGTCACTTGATGAATGGCCAGCCATAAAAATTGAATAAATAAGTATTCTTTCAACGTTGCTACCTTTTGGCATCTTTGAATGAAAGCCTCTCTTCCTTCCCATCAATCACCATCAGTGGCTATTTCTCTGTATTTAGATCCAGTTCCCCAAGTTGTACTGATGTTTGTACTAAACTTAATGCTTCTACTTTTCTCCCCTTTCCTCCCAACTTTCTTTTTTGCATTGTGTCTTAGATTATAACAGCATTTGGCGCTAAATATTTTAATTTGATGACCTTAAGAGAAAGATGTTTATTTTTATAAGTTTAGAGATACTTATAAAAATAAACATCTTTCTCTTAGAGATATTTTGGCCAATGATGAGGTTAACAAATGAAGTCTAGCCAAGTCTAGACTGGAAACAGAAAAAAAATCCTGGAAGAAAATTGGCATACAACTTCTCTACTGTTGCTAAAAAACCCTCTTTTTTTTTTCATGTCCATTAAGATTTTGGGGTCAGACTTGACTTGAAGGAGATTTTTAAACCAATTTAATTTTTAAAAAAATCTTTAAAGTCCTGAATGGTCTGAGGGATTGCTTGTCTTTGCATTGAAGTTGGTAGACGAGGTCTTCTTAAAGATGTGCCAATTTTAGAGACCTACCTATCAAAATATCAGATCACAAGATAATGAAGATAAAACAACCAGTAAAAGGCATCATAGAAAAAGGACAGTCCCCCCCCCTTTTTTTTTAAGGAAAAACAGGAAGAATGGAACAATGAGACTCGAAAAATATTAGGCTAGTTATGAAGTGCATAAAAAATTTATTCATAGCTTGAGAAATCTAAACTTTTAAGGATTGGTAACATGAACAAGTCAGGAAGTGAAAGAAATTCATGTCAAACCAAAAATATACATTTGCAGGGTACAAATCTCTCATAATAAAGCATATTACAAGAACTGAAAATGTAGAACATAATTTTTTTCAGCAACAAACTTCTACTTTAGAAATGTAATCTATGAAGAGTTTTTTTGTGGAAGGTAGTATGTACATATGATAAAAATCTGTCTTTTTATTTAAACATAAAAGGCACAAGGAAGGAAATCAAATTATGATTTTAGCAAACTACATGAATTAAAATTGTTACATATAAACATTTCATAATTATTTACTACCACTGACCTCTTTAAACCCCTAACTCTGGGGCAGTGAATTATGTAAACAAGTAATAAATATTCAGAATCATCTGAATCATATCATAATCTATAAATTAAGATATAAGAGGAAAGAGTTAATTAATCAATGTGGCAGTAATTAAGGCTTGTTACAGAACAGCAAAAGGACAAATGCCAAGAACAAGCCTACCAAGTAGAATATATGTCATTAATTTATGCATTTTTAGTGGTTTTAGAAACTACTATTCCCTTTGGTAGCAAAGGTGCAAGAGATGTTCAGCTCTCCTTCAGCAGATGGCAGCCCTGGTTAATTTTGTCTGGGCTTCGAACATAAGTAAGGTCAGATCTGAATAGTACTTGGGACCAAGATTCGAGTCAATACATGAGCCAAGTCTAGACTGGAAACAGAAAAAAAATCCCGGAAGAAAATTGGCATACAACTTCTCTACTGTTGCTAAAAAACCCTTTTTTTCATGTCCATGAAGATTTTGGGGTCAGACTTGACTTGAAGGAGATTTTTAACTTTTTAAAACCAATTAATAATTTTCAGTGTTGCAGTTCTGGTTTTCCTTACCACTGTAGCAGCAGCTGCTAGAAGCTATCATCTTGCTTATATGTGCCTATAGTATTTCATTGTTAATGCTTTGCAAGAAAACTTGTTAGGAAGCTTGTAAAAAGTCCTTAGAGCACAACTAGCAGGACAAAATGAAGTTCAGCAACTCAAGGAGGTATCATGGAAGCATATACTGCTGCTCCCTGATTTATTACATTGCTAAACTCTGAAAATTGCTATGAATCAGATACTTGTGAGGGAGACATATCATCTGCTTTAACATACAAATGCAACCATCATTCCAAAGCAGTTTTTGCCATGTCATAAATACAGCTTCATAAGAAGTTTTTTCTAGTCTCAGTGGCCAGAACCATTTAAGCGCAGGAATTTTTTTTTGAGAATCAAACCATACCAGTTATAGAAGTAACATTTTTGAATAAGTGTCATCACTCTATCCATTTGCAGCAGTTATTAAATCTGATAAATTGAATTTTATTATTAATTACAAGAATGGAATGCTTCACATACTTCAGAAAGATACACTTCAATTGGAATGTGTGTTTGTACTGATTCAGCCACAGAAAGTATTCATGCTTTCTATACTTTACAAATCAGAAAAACATTAAATTACCAATTATTAAGCAATATTAATTTTACACAATGTAAAAATTATGTAACAACTTTTTATTAGAAGCATTTATATTTTTGATTGGGGAGAAAAATGGAACCTTAAAAAACACAAAACCCTGCATTCTGGTATCCGATGTTTTAAACAAAGGAGATGTCTTCAATATTTTCAGATTTCTCTAGTTATATGGCTCATTACTGCACATGATAAATTTCATTTATAATGCTTTAGCATACATTTTAAATGTAAGACATTGTGCTTGAGATCTAATCTCAGTCAAACACTGGGAGGAATAAAGAAAAATCACATTCAAAAGTTTACTTAATTTTCAAAATGAATTGAACTGAAAAATGTAAAAACTGTTAGGGATGCTTTAACTCAGTGACAGAGCACATGGTTTGCATTCAGCATGTCCCTTTTCAGTCCTTGACATGTCCAGGAAAATCTGGGAATCTCTTGAAACACTAGAGAACTGGGAAAGTACTGCCAGTGTTGGCAACACTGGGTTATATGGATCAATAGACTGATTCAATATAAGGCAGCATCCTATGTTACTTGGGAAGTCATAGCAGAATTCCTGTCTAGTTTCATATTTCAAGTACAAAGGTGCTGATCAGATTTCCTGCTAAAATTATGTTAATGTAGGTATTTAAAGAAATAAAAAATAGACTGAAAATAGAATAATGATTAAAACATCAAGCTGTAACACTATATTTAATGCAAACAGCTGTATGCTTAAACCTAAAACAGACATAACAGAATCATTCAAGTATAAACATTTAAAAGGTAGATGATAAAAATTGCACTTACAATTCTGTTCAGATAGCAAACCATACTGTTAGCAAACCATATTCTTTAATGGACATAAGGTATAACATAGATTCCTTCTTTTTCTAGAAATCTGGAGCTCATTCACCAAGTTCAGTCACTGTGTAATTTCCTTATTTTAAAGGAGGCTTTGTAGCAGCAGCCACTAGAGGATTGTGCACAATACAGGTTTGTAGGTTTTGCCAACTTCAACCATTTTGTTAGATGCCCAATGGCCAATTTCATTATCTCACTTGCTGATCAACACCAGAAGTTTTTTGGTCTGTTGCAGAAAGTTCTAAAACAGGATTTACAAATCCAGCATACTCTGAATTGCCGTTATCATCTATTTCTGCACTAATGAAGTCATTTTCCCATTCCAAACCAGTAGAATCATCAGATGTAGAAGTTGGGTTACTTCCAGTTTTCTTGCCACTAAATTTCAATGCTGCCCGGAGAATATCTTCTTCAGTTTTTGAACGTTCTTGCAATGGGATCATTCTGTTTATACCTGCCATTAAAAAAATGTTTTTAATAGAACCTTTATATTGATTTAAAAGTTGTCTTTCTACAGTTCTTAGGTTTCATGTAGATACATCTAAATCAAATAACAACCATTTGCTTTGCAAAATGTGTAACATTCAGAGGGAAATCCATGTAGCAGCCAGGAAATGAGATGGTACTTCACGCGTTTAAAGAATCAGCGTGGCATAAATGTTTGAGGAGTACAATCTGTTTTACCAATAGCCAAGTTTATTGTGGTTTCAGGATTAAGCTTTCAAACAGAAACTTTTGACAAAACTTGGGATGAAGAATATATTAAGAAAATCAGTAAACTCATAAATAAGGAGAGTAAAAGCTATGACAAAAATTAATCTTACCCTTTTAAAATCCTGCCTAGCTTATTCCTGCAGGTGTTGTCTTAACTAGCCTATGAAAATACATTTGAAAGCTGTTTTCTATTAATTATGACAAACAATTTATTGAAACTTTTATTTTAAAAAAACCCTTGAATTCTGTCCAATATTGCACAAGTGTACTTTCTCTTACCTTCCGGGCACCATTTTTTTCCCTAAAAGCTCCTCTTGTGTGATTCTATTTAAGCAAAATAAATATGCAGAACATTCTCTGTACTATTATGATGTGTGGAAATATATAAATAAATAGCCAGCTACTAGCCCTTTCCTCTGCATACTGTGTGACTCCAAGAATATAGCAACAACATACTGATTTTTCTAACAATACCTGTTTCAGTAGCAAAAATATTTTATTGCTGAGCAAAGTTCATTTTTTGTAATGTAAATAAGGGAGTACAGGTAGTCTTTGGTTAACTATGGTAATTGGGACCAGAATTTCCATTGCTAAGCAATGTAGTCATAAAGAGCAATGTCATGTGACCACATTACTTAGTGATAGCAATCCTGGCACTCCGTTACTGTTGTTAAGCGAGGATCTTGGGTTGTTAAGCAAGGACCTCCATTCAACTTTCTGCCGGCTTCCAACAAGCAAAGTCAGTGGGGAAGCTGGCAAGAAGTTGCAAGCCCCAGGTCGCTCGTAAGCAGGCTGGTGGGCAGGTAAGTGTCTGCTGCTGGGTGCAGGAAGGCCAGTGCAGCATGGCATGAGGGTGGCTTGGGGTGGCTGCTGCAGGGTGTGTGAGGGGCTGGCAAGGCATGGTGTGAGTGTGGTGGGGCTGGGCTCATTGCTGCAGGATGGGGGAGACTTACTTGAGTGACTTGCAACCTTGTCTGCTGACTTCCCCATTGACTTTGCTTGTGGGAAGCCAGCAGGGAAGGTTGCAAATGGCGATCATATGACCATGGGACGCTGCAACTGTTGTATGAGCTGGTTGCCAACCACCCAGATTGTGATCATGTGACTGTGGGTACTGTGATGGTTGGAACTTTGAGGACTGGTCGTACGTACCACTCATTCAGCGCTGTTGTAACTTTGAACAGTCGCTGAACGAGTGGTCATTAAACAAGGACTACCTGTATTTAGATCTATTTCTTGTGATTTTGATGTAGATACCTGTACAGGTAGTCCTCGAGTTATGATGGTAATTGGGACTGGAATTTCCATCGCTAAGCAATGCAGTTGTTAGGCGAAACATCACGTGACTGCATC